AGGGTCTCCTGCCACTACTGGCTTTTTTTGCAGTGAGAAATAAGGACTTTACTTCTTTCCCACCATTGCCTCGGTGCTGCACTTCCTGAGGCTAAATGGACACCTCGAGGACTTCTGCTCTGCATGATCTTTCCAGCCCTGTTGGAAATGGGGAGCCCTATTCCCCAGTTCCCTAAATAGCCGCACCGCAGGTTTGCTGGCCCTAGAAGCTCGGAGAGCTCTGGGAACGGGGCGCAGGCTCTTAAGCCATATTGATGCTTTTGAAACTGTTGCCCCAGTGCCTTTGAATGGTTATTTTAATTGATCCAAACCAGTGATCCACCCAGCGCGCCACGTACCTTGCGGGGCACGTTTAGGTCTGCGAGGTGAGGACGACATAACTCCAAGAGATTTCAAGAGGAGCACGGCTTTCTTTTTCTGAGACGCACTTTGGCTTTGGTACCCAGCGACCACGCTCTTGAAGAAGGCCCTTCTCACGTCCTGAGGGAGAAGGAGGTTGCGGGAAGCTTAGAGCAAAATGGGAAATAACCCTGAGGCCTCAGCAGAATCATTTAAGTGAAGGAAATTTAATGCACCAGCTTCAGCTGGCTTTGGATCGCGCGCAGGTGGAGAGGCAAACAGGAGAGGGTGGTGATGCTAAGATGGGGCCAGAAGAAGTATGAGATGTCTGAAGGAAGAGAGGATCCTGGTGCTGGGTTGAATGAAGGGAGCAGGGATAGGAGGCGAGAAAGACAAAGAATCTGCAGCACACGAAAGGATTTTCCAGCAGGCAGTTCTATAATAACACACACTTTTATATGCATATATATATATATAATATGATGTGTATATATGTATATGCATATGCATGTATATATATGCATATGCATGGATACGTGTATATATATGTATATATACACACCTGTATATGCATATGCATGCATGTATATGCATATGCATGCAAGTATATACACACACATGTATATACATATGCATGTACATATATACACATGTATATGCATATGCATGCATATATGTGCATATGCATGTACATATATACACATGCATGTGTATCTATATGCATATGCATATATCTGCATATATATATATGCACAAATATGCACATATATATATATTCAACCCAGAAGCAAGTCCCAGCTGCTCAAGAGGGTGGACTGAGCCCACCCAGGGCTCCTTGGCGGGGATAACCTACCACGTTCACTGAGCTCCACGTGGTGTGGTTCACATACGGAGCAAGCAGCCCGAGTTTCTGCAGACTTGCTAAATCCCAGGACGAAGGATCCCTGCACCAGATGGGGGAAAGCAGAGTTGAGTGCCTTCATGGAAGACCCCAGGCAAGAAGAACCCGCCGCGTCGGGGCTGCTCTCAGCCTCCACCACAGCCAAAGGAGCTGTGCCTACCCGTACTGGCTCTCCCTGCCGCTGAGGAGGGCATTGAGGGCAATCTGTTGGGCCTCCGTCAGAGCTGGACAGAGCTTTAAATTCTCCAGGATCCGAGGGTGGGAGTCTGTGATGGCTGCAGCGTCCATGTCGCACACCAAAGCACCCAGCCTGCCGAGCTGCTCCTTGCTGAGGGTGGTGTTCTCTATTTCCTGGGGGAGAGGACCGTGCAGTAGGGATTTAGGAGCCTGATAGAAACCACCCCAAGAGCAAGGGTCAGAGGGGCATCTCAAGCCATTTTGCAGATGAGCTTTGGAGTTGGTTATTCAGCTCGTTTCCTGAGTTCACCTGGCCAACAGGGTGGAGGGGATCATGTATGATGGTGCTAATGCCTGGCCCATAATGCTCATGAAAAATATTTGGAAGGGGACGGCAATGAAGTACACTGAATCTACTCTGGGAGATGGATGGAGTGCTGCAGCTAGGGCACGGCGAGCGTGCACTTTAAAAGCAAATGCAGCTTACCAGGCAGGCTAGGGCACTGGTCAGGAGCTGGGTCCTTTGGGCAGATCCACATGGCAGCAGGTTGAGGTTTCCTTGGGAAGCCAGGCTGTAAAAGGCTTTGCAGGTATCATTGTGCACTTCAGCGAAGCTGTAACGAAGGGGAAATGCTGTCACTGGGAGGAAAGCAGTGAGGCATGCAACTGCTGTTGCCCGCACAAGACCCCCTGTTAGGTCCGACTGCAGCGCTCTTCAGTGAGTATAAACTGAGCCTAGCCTTTATGCATGCTCTCAGACTGGCCGACAGCTGGAGAGTGAAGGGTTAGATGCAAACCCTTCTTCTTTTGTATGGTAAAGACGGTGTTCGTACCTTTATCTTTGCGCATTTTTGTCAGTTTGGGAGATCTTGGCTGTCAGAGATGCTACCAGGGGTCACTACATGGAAGTGGCTCTCGATGCAAATCCTAAGTGCATTTCTATTTGACTCTTTCTATACA